CAGGAATGCGCGAAAACACACACATCTTTTGCACGCCCGTGTCGCTGTGCGTGACTCCTCCTCATCACAGCATGTAGATGATATAGGAGAGGAAGACGAGGCCTATGATGGCGAAGAACATTAACACCAAAATGTCCACCATGATGGAGATGCTGCTAGAGATGGACGGTGGAGATGCGAAAAGGACAGCAGCAGCACAACACACGGTTCGGGAGCTCGGCAAAGATCGGAAACGTTCGGAAAAAGACGGAGCGGCAATCAGCTCAACGCTTCAGAACAGGAAGCGAGGATACTGGAAATTAGGGCTCTAGTTTACCCCGTGCATCGGCTTCCAGGCGGTTTTTCACGGCAAGCTGCCGAAAAGTGCCAGAAAGTGTTCTTGTTGGGCGTGATACACAAGCTGGAAGAGGCTGTGTTTACAGTTTATTAAGTACACGTAGATAAACTAACGCAGTCTAATAAAACTATCTTACAAAAAAACCTCCTTAGCGGAAAAAATAATGTTTCGTTTGTGTTGATTAAACGGATCGTTTTGGAAGATGCATGATGTGAAGCTGTATAACATCATAATGGAAATTATGTCCAAACCCCCCCCCCCCCCCCAAATAAAAATGACGGGAGATTAAATGAACCCTTCTGTGGTTCTACGACAAACAGCCTTAAAAATAGTCACAGTTGAAACACCTCTAAAAGTAGATGATGCACATGACATGTAATGTTGAAAAGTAAATGTAAGAATAACCACAAAGTTCTATGGCAATCAAACGAACCACCTTGTATGAATAGGTGAACTCCAGACTAAATTCATGCATTTTTACATAAGATTCTGTTTTGGTAGGAGCATGACTCTTTGTGTCAGAGCTCCACAACGCCCCTCTTTTATTTGTGATTTGATTCAAAACACATTTGTCAGGAAATTTAGGCCAGTTAAGCATAATATGACCTGCTCTGTGTCAACTGAAAATATAATTGTAAGACTGTAAAGGTTGTTTATATGGAACATATGCTACTTTATGGATCTCTGATAGGGTACATGCCATATGCATAAAAGGCTGGAAGTGATAATTATCCAAATCACACTTTTCGCACCCATTTCCCTTAACAGGTTAATCTGATGAATTACATCTGTACCACAATTCTGCTGCAAGACGGAAGTAGCACAAACAACAGGCTGAGAAAAATGACATTTTATTGAATCTGCAGAATCATAAGTACAATTTGAAGTGCTGTAACAGGGCAACAGGAGATGATATAAGGTCCTTAATTCTGAGAATGTATTCAGCACAAGGTCTGAATACATCTTTTTGTCAATATGCATATGGTATCTTTATTTATTTATTTTAAAAATAATTATATCAAAAACAATTTAAGATGGAATGCACAAAACTGGTCTGAATGCTAAACCTGCAATTGTGGATTACATGATTTCACTCTGCAAAGTCTACAGTATATAACCAGTATCATAGAAGCGGGGGATGATTCATCAGAAGCGCAGGAGCCTACGATATAAGCTGAAGGAAAGAGGAATCTCAGCAAAGGGGCGGACAAGATACTAGACAGAAACTGAATGGGAACAGGGTTATGATATGATGTTACGGTGCAGTAGATGAGTGATGCCGGAGCAGAAGAGAATTTGGCGCAACGAGGTTAACTCCCGACTAACATCCAGGTCAGACAAACAACTTGCCCTGCCTCACAGCCTGGGAGATTGAGAGCATCCAGCTGCTGCCTTCTGTCACCCTCAGCCCTGCACACACCTATCACCACATGCTCATATTTGACTTGCCTTAATGAATTAATCCTGAACCACAATAACACAACACTGGCTGTCCACATTTTCATTCCATCCAGTCTGACAACATCAACGACCCAGAGACAAAAGGCTTGCAGAGTAATGCAGGCTAGTGGTGAGTGGCCTTGTTTTTAAATTAAGTTTGAGCCAACATCATCACTAGCCAGGAACAATCTTTTCACCACCCATCACTTTACCCAAGAGGAACACACAGTTGTGAACTCTACAATGGCTTCAGCATCTGCTTTGTAAATAAACATATCCTGTTGTCAAGTGCAGGCTAATGCAAAATACAGGCAAACATACTGTACAGCGTGTTCATTCATTTTGTTTGGCAACCTTTAACCCAGACTGGGTTTCATTTGCACTGTTGCAATTTATCACATTAGAACACTGCACAATTTTAGGAATGTTCAACGCCTACTGACAACTTGCATCACGCTGGAATTTTCCCACGAGTCAACTTTTTTTTTCTTTTTTCTTTTTTTTTTTAAATCAATTGACTTCCACCTGGCCACATTCACAACAGATATGAACCTGTTTCATCTGCAGGCAAGTCACTTCCTGGAGCACCATGACATGTATAGTTGCCCTAATTTACCTTATGGTACACATATAGTTGTACAGTGTCATCTAGCTACATAGTGAAAGCCATGTTTTGCTTTTTTTTCCTGAATGTTTGTTCCCCCCCCCCCAATCGCTCATGTCTGTGACAGTCACAGTGCATCATGTGGGAGAATGAAACAGCAAGGAAAGGGGAAGAGGTGGGTATGGTCAGGGGCCATTTACACCACAGAGACAGCCAAATATAACGTTTGTCTGATAATGTCCTCACAGAGATATAGAAGGACAGTACTTCTGTGCAAGTGACTTCAATGATTGATTTTGTTTATGAACCAGCCTTCTTTACAACTTAGAGACCGACACAAACCAGGTAAATTTAGCCTGATTCACAGGGCAAATATAAAAGAATAGTCAACATTTTTTGCACTCATCTGCAAGATGGACCCAAAAGAAGGCTATATGGTTTTCATAACCAGAGCACATTCTTTCATGTTCTCCAGAATAACAAAAAAGAGAGCTCCACTGGTCAGAAACTGAGTTGAACATTCACCTATTCAGCTGATTTCTCCAACAAGCTGCTAGCACTGTTCTGACCTGAAACTGATCCAATACTGCCACCGGACACATCTAGATAAATTCCTCTTCCTTGGTTCATTATTTGAGTTGCTGGTTTATTTATTTAATATGCTGACATTTTTTAAAAGCATCTTACAATAACAAGAAAAGGCAAATGAGCAACAACATGAGAACCACGACAACAACATTTACCAAAGGCAACAGTTTCAATCACATTATATGGAAAAAAACAAGACTGGAATGTTTACACACAAAAACAGTGGAATAAATTTAAAATAAAAAAGATACAAACAATAGAGTTGTGCTTGGCCCTGTCACTTATAAATGTGTCTTCTAGTTTTTGTAGCAAAAAGGGAAAGAACTGGCCTGCTCCAATTTCCTTTCTCCAAACCTTCACCACCATAACTTTGTGATTCCCTCCGGACTAAAGGCATTTGGGCAGCAAAAACAGGAACAAGGGCATGTAGGCTGTACATGAACACCCCTACTGAGGTGATGCATTCCGTATGGCTGCAAGAGATGGACTGATAATGTCCCCTAACTTGTCCCTGATCCCGCCTGTAAAAGGTAACGACAAGAGGTGCTCTTCGGTCAGGCTACGATTCCAGTTTCACAATGATACCTATCTGGTGCAGTGAACACAAGGGTGTCTACTTGAGTACCCAATGGTGAGATGTGTTTCTGTCTATAAATATATTAAAAACCTCTCTGTTAAGCCTGAGAAGTGGCTGACTGGTGCAACAGCAACAAGGTTAGAGGTTAAAGGAATGTACTCAAGTCAAATATATTCAAGCTTAGTTCTAATAGACTGAGATTAAACACTGTGTTTCCAGTCTGGCCAAGAACATGCTGCAAGATTAAAGAAAGAAACAAACAAAAACCAGGCCTATGAAAATGCCACACCCACCCAAACGTCTAACTCAATTTCCCCACAGAATAATGACTGCTGCTCTGTTGACTAACTTGTGGGGAAAAGGGCTTTTTACATTTTTTTCTTCTTTATTTTTGCAAGATGCAAAATGTCAGGAACAATGAACTGTGACTTGACCTTATATGACTTTCAAATTCCACTTGTGACAGCACGAGAGTGGAGCCAGGATTGGAAAAGACTGAAGATCCACACAGAGACAGACATCAGCACAGACACAGACAGAGCGACAGGCAGGCAGACAGAAGAGAAGGACAGACAGACAGATGGTGTCTGTGGCTGGTGTGCTGAACAGTGAGAGCAGAGCAGGGATGCAGAAGGTGGGGTAGGTTCAGGGTCTCACAGGACAGATTAGGCAACAAGAGTAAAATCAAGAGAAAGCAGCTAGAGGTGAGATGAGATGGCACTGGGCTTTTCCTTTCTGTCTTTCCCTCCCTTTCTCTACCTCCTCCTCCTCTGTTCTCTCCCTCTCACTCAGATGGCCTCCACGTAGTTGGCAGGCAGCATGCCCTGCTGGCCAGTGCGCTCCACACGGCCGTACATCCAGCCCTCGTCGATCTGTTGCACGTCTACGATCACATCTCCGTCCATGAAGGACACCTCGTCCTCGTCAGCAGCAGCGTAGTCATACACTGCCCTGTACCGCTTCTGTGAATAACAAGGAACTCACTTAGTCCATTTGTTATGTTAGTAAATTAAACATTAAACACATCCAAAATTGTGATCAAAATTGTAATTCTTCAAATGCCTTGCTTTGTCCGACCAACAGTCCAAAACCCAACAATATTCAGTTTACTGTCACAGACGATTAACAAAGTCAGCACAAATTCTCATGTAAGGAACTTAAACCAGTAAAACTGTATCTACTGATATTTTTTTTTCAGACTTTGAATTCATCAAGTTGTATCAGACAGCTGCAGGGAAGGT